ATCAAGATTATAGTATCAACTAAAGCCATGATTGTCCTCCAGCACAGTAAGTATGTTTTAGTTTCAGGATTCAGTTTCTTTCTTCTTCCAGCATTCCATTTTCTTGGCCTGTGTGAAAAATCATAATTATCTGTTTGAAAATCAGTGATGGGAGTAAGTAAGGATGACACTGCTAAAGAAAGAGCTTATTTTATTTTTTATTAAATTTTAAAATATTTTATTAATTTTTATTTATTTTTTCTTTAAGTGTATGAATGTACTGCCTGCATGCATGTGAGTGCACCCCTGTTGTACAATACCCATGGAGGTGAGAGGCAGGCAGCGAAACTCCTGGCACTAGAGCAGTGGACAGTCATTAGCTGCCATGTGAGTGCTGGAAATCGAGCTTGGGTCCTCTGCAAGAGCAGCAGTGTTCTAAATTTCTGAGCCATCTTTCCAGCACTGTGCACAAATAAATACTTTAAATAGTTATTTGTGGTCCCATTTTGATTCTGTAAAAATTAAGCTCTCAAGGACTGGAGAGACATCTCACTTAAAAGCACTGGCTGTTCTTCCAAAGGACCCAGGTCGATTGCCACCACCCACATGGTGGCTAACAGCTGTAGGTAACTCCAGTCCAAGGGAATCAAGCAACCGCTTCTGGGTTCCATGGGCACTACATGACATGGGTGCACTTACATACATGCAGAAAATATATTCATCCACATAAAAATTAAAAATAATAAAGTATTTTTAAAAGGACTTGGACTTAATGGAATTAATCCCCAGAAGGGACTTGGTCAGCAGCCAATCACTCCTTTTATCTTCAGTATTTATACCTGACCAGTCTGATGAGTACTCACAGAAACTAGTTCATTTGAGGAGGGCATAACAAAAGTGAACTGATCCACAATAACATTTTCACTAATCTATGTATATAAGAATAAAACTTTAATATCCTTCATGAACCTGTCAAAATATCTTCAATGTTTCCACTCATGAGTTCTGAGTTTATAGTAAATTATCCTTGAAATCCTCAAATTTGAAAGCATACCTAAACTAAATAGATTTATCAGATCCTTTACTTCACAATCAGGTACCACAGGGGAAAAACATTAATGACTTGACATGAAGGGAATTTGGAACTGGGATAATGCTCTAAGTTGGGACACCACAATGAAGGGCTAAAGGCAGAATTTTGACATTTGACTAATAAAAGTCAATTCCCACATGATCCTGTCTGAAAGGATACTATCCTGGGCCTGGAGAATTGGCTCACTGGTTGAAAGCACTGGCTGCTCATGCAGAGGACCCAGGTTCAATTCCCAGCACCCACGTGAAGGCTAACAACCATCTGTAACTCCAGTTCAACGGGAATTCAATGCCCTCTTCTGACCTCCACAGGTATTACACAACACCAGTGCATTTACATACATGCAGACAATACACTCACACACACAAAAAACAAATAATATATTTTTAAAAGGATACTATCCCAGTTCTTTCACAATCCTCCCCGATTCTCAGCTAATTATTTCCTCTGCTGTCCTTGGATATGTGCTCCTGTTCTGAAGAGGTGCTTATAAAGCAGAGGTATTTTTCTTCCTATAGCAATCTGATGCTTTCATTTCTTCCTATCTTAATAGACAGCTTGCCTCTATTCACCAAACTAAGGAAAACACATCTGGATCTCTTCTGGAGTGTGCTTCACAATAAATAAGTTTGACCCTTGTATAAAGCTATTTTTTTTAAAAGAAACCCTGTTTTCCCTTGAAGTAAATGGAAAATAAAACTATTAATTTTCAAAATAGACTAAATAGTCCATTTTTTTCTAATAACATATAGGAAGATTAATCATATCTGGGCTTTAGAAAAATCAATCTGATTGCATGAATTAAAAGACAGAAAGACATTGGAAAACTAAAGAATAGGTTGAGAAATAAATACGCTACTGATGCATACCCCAACTTGCAGTAGCCCTGAATTCTCTGCCCTTGGTATTCCTCTAGAAGAACAAGTAACAGGTTATCAAAATTCAAATCCTTTACCAAGAACACAAAAGAAAACACAACAGCATGGTGCTCATTGATTCCTAACCTTACGCGTTAGTGAAAGGTAATTAGCAAAGAAAGAAGAGAGACAAAACTCACAAGTTAGGAAAAGAATTTGCAATACTAGGTTTAGTTACTGTCCAGCAGGCATTCTGCATGAATTAGTTCAAACAATTAGCACAATAACTCTGAACTAGGTGCTATTGAGGAAGCTTAGGCTTAAGAATAATCAAGAATGGAAAAAACTCACAGTGTGACTCTAAAGTCTATAAAAAGCAAAAGGAATATTCTCTTACTGGTTGTCAATGCACAGGAAGGGTCTATAGAGATTCAGTCTACTGTATAAAGTTAAAGTCAGTCTCAAAACAGCAATGCATTTTTACTACTAGGTTCACATGAAAAGAAATTTTTTCTTAGAAGCTATTGTAAAGACTTTATTTCATTGTAGAAATCAAATAATATGTTAATTTTTATATTTCTTCCACAAAAATTTCAGGAACACTTACTATACGTCTGGAAGTAAATATTCAAAGTCATTCAAATGGGTGAGTTGAGGATGCTTCTGTACTCCAGTGTTCACTTTGTCATCATTCACAGTAGCCAAGAGGGGAAGTGAGCCACATGAATTTTGGTGGGTGACTAGGCAAAAACAATGTAGTCTAAACTACCCAGTATAATATTGCACAGCCTAAATGAGAAGGAAATTCTGACTGTTGTGATAACATGGGTGGAACATAAAGACATTGCACTAAATGAAGCAATCCACTTAGAAAAAGACATATACTGTGTGACCTCACTTATGTATGGAATTTAGCAACCAGTTTCATAAAATCAGAAAGAGACCACTACCAGTGGCTGAAGGGAAGGATGCAAGATCAGAACTCTGAAAATATTTATCGAAGAGCATAAAGTTCAGTTAAACAGGAAGAATATATTTTAGCAATCTATTACAGTGCTAACTGCATTGTTAATTTTAATGTACTACATATTTTGAAATAACTAAAATAGATTTTTCTTTTACTAATTAATATTTTAATGATACAAATTTTTGGACAGAAGTTCATAATTCAAATATCAATGTTTTTAAGAAGGATATGAAAATATTTTTACTTGTGCAGGAAACTATGCCACTTCCCAAGATACCTATTTTAAATTCCTGCTAACAATTTACATGGCTCCCTTTTCTCCACATAGTTGCTAGTACTTGAAATTCACTTTAGATACATCAATTAAAATTTTAAATGCACAACCTAAAACAATAAAATAAATGGAAAAGAAAGAGATACATACAGGTCTGTGTACTGATTTCTTGGACAGAAAGCCAAAAGCATATACATCACAAAAGGAGACAAGGGGATATCATCAAGTCAAATGCTTCTACACAGCAAAAGAAACACCTAACAGAATAGAGATATTCGGTAGATAGGGAGAAGGTACATCTTACAGCCAGACTAATATTTAAAATATATAAGAAATCCAGCAACACAATAGCAAGAAAGCAATGCATTTTTTAAAAGAGCATGATCTATGACCAGATCCTTGTCAAAGAAGAGATGTGGCCAAAAGGGCCCTGTAAAAATATTCAGTATCTCTAATCATAACGAAAATGCAAGTTAAAATTGCAGCAAAATATCCCTTGACTCTTGCTATGATGGTCATTTTGAAAAAGACGAATAGCAAGCGTACATAACATTTTATTTGAATTTTGCATGTGGAAAAACACAAGAATAATGACTTAAGCAAATTGTTCAAGGAACTCAGATGGAAGCAGGAAAATCCTGAATTGAGACTCTCTAAGTCTGATTTAGACATTCAAAGGTGAAATCAGAAAACTATACATGTGTTTTCATTACAGATACATATCTGAGGATCATTCACCAACTTCAAGTCACCTTATCTAAGAAAATCTACTAAGTAAGAATAAAAAGGAAAGTGAAAGAAAGAATTTCCTTGGAAAGAGATTTGACCTACACCAACCATAGAGTTTAGAAGACGAAACAGAGCCATGAAGGGGAATG